GTGGGTAAACATACCAGAAGGATGGTGCACCCCAGACCTCTCTCTCTACGGACCTCTTCATCTGACTGTTCATCTGTATCCTTTATAATATCCTTTACAATAAACTGGTAAATGTGTGTTTCTCTGCATTCTGTGAGCCACTTTAGCAAATGAATCCAACTCATGGGAACCTCTGATTTATAGCCAGTGGGTCACAAGCACAGGTAACAACCTCAACCCGTGATGGGCGTGGCTGCAGCAGAGGGAATCCTGTGAGACTGAGCCTTTAACCTGTGGGATCTGATGCTATCACCAAGTAGATAGCGTCAGAATTGAATTAAATTTGTAGGACACGCAGTCATTGTCTGCTGAGAACTGGAGAATTGCTTGGGGGTGTTGGAAAATACGTCATAGGCAGTGCACACTAAACTAGTTCGTCTAGAGATAAAAGTAATTAATTCTTAGAAATTTGCTTATAAAACTGAATGCAAATGTCAAAAATCATCAAAAGAGAAGATTATTTCTTTCACAAAATATTTATGGAAACACGACGGGCATGGACAAGATGCCTGTTGATGGAGAGCATATCTTCTAGTAGAGGAACACAGGTAGTAAACAAGTTAATAAAAAATGAAAGGATAAAGAATGTAAATATAATAACATACAGTTGCTCTGTCTGGGCTTTTCCTGCCTATGGGCCATTGGGCGCAATGTTTATGTGCTATAATAAAGCCTGTCACAGAGGATAGTGTTTGCTTCCATAGTAAATGACCTCAAACTGCTCCGTTGATTTTTTTTGTTGTTGTTGATATCTTGTGCCTTGAAAAAAATCGTCTCCTAAAAGCTGTCCTGGTGGCATAGTGGTTAAGTTCACGCACTTCACTTCAGAGATCCGGGGTTTGCAGGTTCGGATCCCGGGGTCTGGACCCAGCATTGCTTGTCAAGCCACACTGTGACTGCATCCCACATAAAATAAAGGAAGATTAGCACAGATCTTAGCTCAGCAACAATCTTCCCTACCAAAAAAAATATATATATATAATAAACTTAAAAAATAATTATC